GTTGTTAAAGCGTGTATCCTTCCAATTTTATTACTGCCAAATGTCAAAAAATTACAGCTTCGAATATGACAACTACGGCAATAGCAGGCTCTTCAAAATAACACCTCTTATTGGGAAACCCTGTATATAGATTTTGGTTCCCGAGGAACTTTATTGTCTACACTTGTTTTTGAGTATTTTTTTAAGTTCATTTAAATTAATTTAATCTCATATAAAAAATAGTATAATAAATAATCGAAGAAATCGTTCAAAGCAAATCAATTAATTTATTTTCCTCCATTTCTGTTAATGCAAATGTTCAATAATAAATATTTTGTCTAAGTTATATTTAAGTATGTGACAGCACACGCACATGCACACACATGCACAACCATATACATTTAAACATCTAGTCATTGTAGTGAAGCACAAAGTAGTTTTTATAAATTGTAAATTATTTAACTTTATGCGTTTCAATTTAAATTAAAAAAAAACTCTGATGGCGGCTTTTATTAAACGTTTCGCTTATTATTGCTGGCTGTCGTCGTTGCTACTTGTCTGCTGCTGCTTGCCACGCCGCTCCAGCGACCACTCACTCAGCCTCATACAATCGCTGCCGCATATTCGCCGTGACATTTGTTGTTGTTCTCTTCTATTTTTTGCACCATATTGGAGCACTTAATACCATCAACAGAAGCGATTAAATGATTTCATTGATGTTACCATTGTTGTTGCGGTTGTTGTTGGTGGTGGTTGTTCACTTTCAACGGCAACTTAATGTAGCAGCAGCACATTTTTTGAACTGGCGTAAAAAGCGTGAAACATCAACCGGTTGTTTTTCTTGCATTTGTTGTAATGCATTTGTGGATGTGTGCATATGAGTGTTTGTTGTTATTGTAGCTGCTTTTATTATGCTGCCAATGGTTGATGAAGATGTTCGCTGCGCTAACTGAATGGCAATGCTGCCGTTGTCGTTGGCGGCGTTGGTGTTGTTTGTGTGGCGAAAGACGGCAGACAGACAGACAATTCACCAAGTGAAGTGGCAGCAATAACGGCGTAGCTTTTTGCCACTACTATGTATGTATGTATGTATGTATGAATGTATAAATTTAATTTTGTATTATAGCTTGGTCGACGTCTACTGCACGAGTCGACAGTCGAGTGTCGTTGTCATTATCTGACACAAAAAATTTAATATTAATTATGTTGACATGTTGGCTAAAACATATTTCTTAAGATAGGTCAGCTCTGTGGTACTCTTATTCGTAACCACATACTCCTATGCATTCTTTTTTTTTTTTGCGAATCTTTGTCTTCATAACTCATGTTTGCTTTCTGTTGCAACTGTTGTAATTTTCTTCATCATCACTTTCAATCCTGACATCAGGTTATTGTGGTTGTAGAAGGGAAATAATTATGAGTTTTGTCACTTGCCACTTGCTACACCAACAAAAGCACACGAAAGTGAAAGCATATATCATATTTGAATACATAATATTTCGTTGGAAGGGAATCTCCTCTACGTTCTAGAGTGTCTCTTCAAACGCGCGATGTCCCGGGTTCTTGTTTGCATAAGCCTCAATCGTTCGTGGTAGTGGTAGAAAGCCAACATATCCGAACATAAAATACATAAGTTTGGTCTTTGTTCGTCGAAAGAGTACTTTAATTTCCAATTGACTACTCAAAGGAAAGTAAGATTGGTTGGTAAGATGCTTTGGATTTGAAGTCTGATAATGTACTTAGTGCTAAAGCTAGTTCTCAACGAGGTGGAATTTGGTAAGACTTCAAATTAATGACAGTCAAAAGGGACGTGGGAACCGCTTATTTGAAAGGATGAGATATTTCTTAATATACTCGTTCCACTACCAGACCCATTTAGCTCAGTTTGAAGAAAGCAAAATTTATAACGCGCGTTTTAAGGCCCATCAGCTATTTCTTCTGCATCTATCTCAAAGAGGCTCTTTCCAATTCCCAAGGAAACCTTACTTTGTTCAATGTAAATTTACACAGAGTTTCATCGCCATCCAAGCCCATCAAATTTAGAAATGTCGACCTATTGGCATGTTGATGTCATCTCTCAACTCGATAAAGATGTTGTCTGTATCATAAAAGTTCTCCTCTTTTTTTCAAGACTTGGGCTTAAATGGTGAGTATCTCTTGCATGTTTGCAATACCAGGGCTACAGGTAATCTAAATAAGTCCGTTTAACATCTCGACGGCCGCAGTAGCCGAGTGGTTAATACTGCGTAATATCCTTCGGAAGGCCCGGGCTCAAATCCCCGTGCGACCAACATCCAAAAGTTATAGAAAATTAATTTATTTCAATAAAAAAATAAGGTGTCGCCCCTCGGCAGGGAACGTCAACCCATCAGAGTGTATTTATGACATGAAAAACATTAAAAATACATCAGCCGTTCGGAGGCGGCCTAATATAAACTGTAGGTCTCTCCATTTCTTGGAAAAACAGCAAAACGCAAAACCACAAATAAGAGGAAGAGCTCGTTCGAAAATCGCTTAAACGATTACAAATTATGTATACATAATATCTTGACATAAAGCTTTAAGTTCGGCTTATGGTTTAAGCAGAATATACTCAGGTTCCATGATGCCATGATTTTGACCAACTGTACATGGTAGAGTAGCCTTCCCATGGACTTCTTAACTTTTTTTTCGGCATATTTGATAAGCTTGGTATGATTTCCAGTACATTAACTATATCAGTATCGATTGAATTCATCGACTCCGGTTGCTGTACTTTCACTGTCAGCTTGCGTTAGCCCTCCCTAAACTCAGTTTGCTCTGGACATTTTTCACTAGATCACTTCGTCAGTATGCTCTATTACTTAAATTTTCGTACTTCTTTATATGGCCTTTGAAATAGACTTTACATAGACCCATTTGCTAGAATACATCAGTCTTCATTTTTGCTAGAACATTAATCAACCTTTCACCTATCCAATTATGATATTCAGGTGCCTACAGTCAAATCGTATTCATTCAAAGAGTGGTCTTTTATTCGACACCGTTTTTTTCTATATTCGGGTGCATACTTCGTATGTGTGTAACATGAACACATCGTTCGTTGTTTTTTCCGAGTGAATGGCAGCCAAAACACATATCCCACTTTCGTGAAATTTTTCATACATTCCCATTTTTTAATAATCAGGTCAGGAAAGGATACCTTTTGTATAGTAAAACAGTCGTGAAATTTCTCACAAGACAGTAGAGGTTTTGACAAAGTTAAGGAATATGTATAATTCAACACCGGATAAGGTCAAATTCATTTGTTGAGAATAAGCTTTTTTCTCCACACAGTATAATTTGTGGCTTGAGAAGGGTCATGGACGATTATTTGTGCATCCATAAGAAGGCTTTATACGCATCATGCTTTTCCAATATCAAATCCTGCTTCGGCACTGATACATGCGTCTCTCCGCCAATGTATTGAAATAGTTCTGAAGGTGTGCCATCTTCGTTAAGCCGCTTTAATCCTTTGGCAGCAGTACGTAAGGTGCTTGCCACAGTCTACATATACCGAGTTCTTGTCGAGTGCTCTCAAAAAGCATGATTGCTAGTCGAATAGGGTGAAATGTGTTGTAAATTAACCACCAAATTCTCATTACCGTCAGTAAATCACCAACGATATATAAAAATTTATCACCGCTGCGAAACACTGGCGGCTGATTCAAATAATTTCACACTTAAAGAGGAAAATTACCAGAAACATATGCACACACTGATGTACTACAATATCTTGCGATGGCTCACACTTTTAATCACTATGCGAAAATGAAATGTTTTATTTATATACTTTTTATTAAAGCATGCAACCGGATGTGGAAGCAATGGCAATAACAACTTTACTCAGACGCTGTACCGGCAACAAACAAAACAATGGCCAATCACCTTTCCTTTCCATTATGTAAAAAAGGCATAAATTGTGAATATATATTATATACGAGTATGTGTAGGTATGTATAGCTTGTTATAAAAATTAGAAATTGCTTTTGTATATTAGTATACACAAAAGTCTATTTAAATTCATAAAGAAGCGTTAAATGACACACAGCATGCCAGCGTACCATTGCATCCATATCTACGTTTGTATGTATTGTAGAAACAAGGAAGTATATACCATTTGTTGTCCACTTGGTCTGTTGGCTTGTTGGCTTGGTACAACCATAACGAAATTGTTTATTGCTATGTACATTAAAAATATTGCCAAATCGAAGCGAAATCATTTGGTTTTTGAAAAGATTTTTTTTTTTGCTTTTAGAGACGGTTAAGGACATTTTTGGGACGTGCCGCGGCGCACCGCATGGCATGCGTCCTTTCAGAAGACAACTGCTGGCAGTAGCGTGGGCAGGAGGTAAGCGAAATGCAAAGAATAAATTTAGCATTTCCACAGTTGGCAGACTTGTCGCCGCCAATAGCTGACTTCTCGACCACTTGTGGCGTAGGCGTTTTGTTGTCCCTTACAGGTATTATGCTCCTCTAAATGTGCACAGTCTCTTGGTCAGAGAATTTGATGGTGCTTCGAAAAAACGAAAAAGGAGAAAATTGAAATACTCTTTGCCTAATCTAAGGTTTTGCTATATTGTTATCATATTGCTATCAGCAATGAAGATCGATTTAATTTATGATCGATATAATCGTTAATTGCTTTGAATATATAATATATCAAAATACTTAAATCGAAAGAAAAAAATTAATTAAATACAAATCGGCCAATACATTTTTTTAGATAAAATTGCACGGTATACCAGAAGCAGTTACTCAGACTTATCAATATATATAATATATATATCTATAAAAATATAGGTGTGTCATTGCTTCCTCAAATGGTGGAAGTCGCTGATAAGAACCACAAAGCTTCGGCGCAAAATAAAAACAATAATTTCCACTTCAATTACTCATACTTATAAATTTATTTTTTATTATATTTCGCGTTTTATCAGTCAGTGTTTTTCTTATTTATTTGGCAAGAATATGCAGAGATTTCAACTACAAAAGTTGAGCAAATTTGAAATTTTTGGTCAGTATCAAAGCAACGGTGAAGTCGAAAGCACTGATCGCGTAACATATTAAGTTTAATATAAACTTCAAAATTAAGTTTAAAAGTTAATAAAAAAAACTCGAAATACACAATGCACGGAGCGCAAATATGTGTTGTCTTATTTTTGGTGGCCTGCAGTTGTTTTACTTTGAGTGAGTTTCTCAAAAAAAAATTGTAATGTATAAAATAAAATGAAAGGAAATAAAATAAAATAAAATGAAGGAAAATAAAATAAAATAAAATAAAATAAAATAAAATAAAATAAAATAAAATAAAATAAAATAAAATAAAATAAAATAAAATAAAATAAAAAAAATAAAATAATATAGAATAAAGTAAAATAAAAAAAAATAAAATAAAATAAAATAAAATAAAATAAAATAAAATAAATAAAATAAAATAAAATAAAATAAAATAAAATAAAATAAAATAAAATAAAATAAAATAAAATAAAATAAAATAAAATAAAATAATTTTCGAGTACTCGTTCGAGCATTTCGTCTGGTAATTGGCGAATGATACGCATGAGGTTTTACTCCAAGGCGTGAATCGTACAGGCATAGACTTTAGACTTTTCATTTGCCTACAGGACTAACGGTGTAATATCACACTACCGGCTCAAAACGTGAATTATCTGCACACCGAAGAGTTTTATCAATAAATACAATAACTGATGATGTGTTGGAAGTGATGCCGTCTTGCTTTTAATTCAGGCTTCAAATAGTCGATTATCATGGCGCGATAAGCGACGCCATTGATGGTTACGGTCGCACCAGCATCATTTTTGAAGAAATTTGGACCAATAATTCTACCGGCCAAAAACCACAATGCACTTTGTCCACTTTGAATTGAATATCTCGACGTAAAATGCGTCAAGTCGTTCCATATGTCAGTCCGTGTTGCTGCGAACGGCGCCGAATTGACTCTCCACGGTCTTCATGTACACTTTCAGAGTGTTGGACGTGGTATATTCCATCGAGCATTATTTACTTATGCTATCAGCGTACTTATTTATTATATAGTACGCTGAGAGTTGTTAAAACGTAAGCCTTTCCATGATTGAACATAAATCACATGACAGCTTGACATGACTCACTCGCGATCTGTCAAACAAAGGCTATTGAAAAAAAATGCTTTTCTTGGGTCACCATTTAAGATATTATAAAAACAATAATGCCACTAAAATAAAATAATATCAATAAAGTAATATTAATGGAAATAAAATAAAATAAAGTTAATTTAAATTAAATTAAATTAAGTTAAATCAAATAATAAAAAAATTAAATATTTTCGGCCCTTATTTTATGTTGTGTCATTTAAATCTACTCTTCCCTACTACTCCCCAGCCACATCGCTGAGTTGCTACATTTGTGACAGTTCGCTTGGCCAAAACTGCTCAACCAGCACAACAACGGCAACCTGTAATTCAGCATTGGCTCAACAAACGACAAATTATGCTCTTCAATATTTAAATACAACTATTGCACAACTGAATGTGACGAGTTCAACTTATGCATGTGTTTCCGACTATATGATGACAGGTGTGTTATTGAAAGTTTTTAGTTTAATTATTTGAAAGTTTCTTATGAAAAATTAAAATTTTGTGTTACATTTTCTACAGCAACCAGCAATCACTCTTATCTCGGCTGTGCATACAGTACTGTGAATATTTGCAATTTCGAAGCGAGAAAGATGAATTACTTACGTTATTGTGATTGGTGTAGCAACAATAATTGCAATCGCAATCCTGCGGATCGCGTTAATAGCAATATCATCACTATGGGGGTGACCATGATGTTGTTATTTGTAGCGAAAATTCTTTGCAATTGAGAATTAGCATATTTATTGTTAGAAAAATGATATATGCACTTTAATTTCCTTTTATATAGCACCTTTTATAATAAATATTACAAATATCGACTTTTGTTAAATAAACCCATATGCTCGTTGCTCTTTATTACAATGTTATTGTATAATGCACACAGAAATTATTTTATTCCGTAAATTAAATTTTTCAAGGACAAAAATAAAATATTATCACAGCTATTAATCACAGTGAAGCTTAATAGATAAAAAAATTTTAACAATATAAGTAAATATTTTATGCTTGATCCAATTAAAAAACTCTATACTTTCCTTTCGGATGCCAATACGGTAAACTTTACCTTGACAATTGATAGGTAGCAATAAAAACTTAATTAATAATTTAAAATTTTTGGCTGGAGATAAAAGAAATATCAGAAAGGCCAAAATAAGTTGGCAAATATTTAAAGCTATTTAAAGAGATATATATATCAAACGAAGCGAGTAATTGCTGAACCCGGAATTTTAGTTACGCTTCTTGTTCACCCGTCTTCTGAAATGAAAAAATGAAGTTATTTCAAGATAATGGACTTTGAAAATATTTTCAATTAATTATTTTATGGTTGCTGCTCTGTTTGCTATAATTGTGAATAAATAAGTATGTAAGCTTATAGAATAGCGCGATTCGCAACAGTAAAACAGAAAAATTGAACAATGAAAAAACAAAACCCAAAAGGTAAGTTTAAAATAGTATCTTATCGTCGTTCAAAATACGATAGTATGGCGAAGTTTTCCATGTAAAAACTCTAATATGAAGATTATAGTTTTTATCATTGATATATTGAACCCCGGCGGTGCTTTGACATACTTTTCGAAGAATCCAAAAGAGAATGTTAAATAATGTTGTTGACTTTTATTATTCAATATTTCAAAGAATACTGCCAATAAACCACGAATTGGGTTCAAAAACTATTTATTTATTCGTCTATATTGATGCATTGATGTTAGCGCCTGCAGAATGCATTAGGGATTATGCATTTGAAATACATATCATACTCTTTCCGTGATATAGTATTCAGTTTTTTCACTAATGTTCTCTAAATATCTTTTACAATTGTAAAAAGACGCTGCGTTAGGACTCTCCCTACTTTGAAAATAAGAAGAAGTCAAGCGGAATGTGAAAGCAGCGCCATCGTTACGACATTGTTTTTGGCAAAAAAAAATTTGAAGAAGCAATATATAAGGAGAATTATAGTGTTACAAACTTCTTGAACTATTTTTTCCAAAAATTCGGATGTTACGAGTAGATAGAGATAGAACCACCTATTGATGGAGTTGGAGGAGTTCATGACATCTTGACGACTGTGACGATTAAGTTCCAGATCAAAGAGCCAAGCGTCATTTAGCGACTTACAAGCAACTTTCATTCGGCGCTCTTTTTGTTCAAACTTCAACGCTCTTGAAATCAATTTTTTAGCATTCATTTCATATCCCAAATAATGGGAAAATGTCACGACACGAAATGATTATTTCTTTGCCGAGGTCATCAGCGACTTCCCTAATTATGATTTCATTTTTACATTTTCTACGTTTTCTTCGATTGTTGATGTCAGTACAAGGTAGCAACTGTTAGTAAGAAGTATGATTCCGCGTTCTACTTGAAGGCTGATATTATCTTTGGTTTTAATACTGGTTTTTGGGTAGGCGAAATTATGAACGACTTCAAAATTCTGCATATCAACAGTGACGTGGGAAACAAGCCACGAATGCGTTTTTGGTTCCTTTGATGACAATAGGTTATTCGTCTTGACCCGGTTCACTACCAGACCCATTCACTTTACTCCTTAATCTAGACTTTAGAACTCAAAACTAAAGATTTGGTTGTTGAGGCCGATGATTATGGTCAATATTTTCGGTGTCATTTCGGCTCAGAGAGATACTTGCCGAATATGATTATGTCCCCGGGCAGTTTATACAGACATATACAGTTTGCGAGTATACCAAATTTAGACATAGTTATCTTGCACGCTGCCGACGGTGCTGCCTCAAATGTACGTGTATTTTCGAAGATTTAACGCATGGTGAATAGCTGATGCTATTTGAATTTCGGGTTTGACATTTCCAGTAGGAAAAGTGAAAGACTCATTAACATTTATACCGATATGATCCGAAAGGTGAGCTTATCTGATTAAGCGAGGTCCGTCTGCCCGTCTCTTTGTACACAAGATGGTCCGACAGTTTTTGAGATATTTCCACCGAAGTTGGTAGGACCGGGAAGATTTTACTAATATGGAATATATACCTACGACTAATTTTTCACATTATTTCTAGCGAACAGTATTAATTTGTTTACAGACGATATTGTTGATAAAATTATAATCGTCCAATAAAGTATTTGGTTTTATGACGTTGTGTTTCATAAAATGCATACAACAAGCCTTAATAACTCAAAATATTACGATTTTGTTGATAATATTAATGGTTAATAGTCTCTTTTATGTTATTTGTAAATGTAATTTTTCGGAACAAATTCCGCATCTGTATCAACACGTTTATTATCATCATCGGAGGAGTGTGACGAGTCCGTAGCTGACATGACATACGCCTCCGGTTTACCCACACACCGCCTGTTTCTTCTGATATACAACTTATCACATCGATTGCGAACACAGAAAGTTCAGCCCTCCTTATGGTTAACCTAGCGAAGAAATGAAAAAAGAAGAAAACAGCCAGAAAAACGAAAAGTGGTTTGTTTAGTACGAGGCCAATGGCAAACGTGGCGTTAATGAATTAGAAACATGCGTTTTGGAATACACGTATATCAAAAGTTTAACGAAAAATGATCAAGATGAAATAATATTGGTAAAAACTATAAAAGTATAAGAGTAACGAGTTCGTTCGGTTTTTTAATGAATTTTCAAAATAAATAATTTGTCCGATTTAAGTCAAATATACGCCGTTTTGTTCTTAAACTTGTTGCCAAAGAGATTTCAACTTCATTATATCCCTCTCGTAGAAGGCTGCGTCCCTGTTGGCAAAAACCTTAGAGAGCCAATTTTCACAGGCCTCTCTTAAGGCCAACTTCTCACTATTAAGCGCGTTCGCCATGGGCAGGAAAAGAAAGTAATCACTCGGTGCCAGGGCCGGACTGCAAGGTGGGGCTTTAGGACCTCCCATCCGAGCTCCTAAGCTTCTGGCGCGTCACCAAAGACGTGTGTGGCCTGGCGTTGTCCTGATGGAACACAATTCGGCTTCTGTTGATCAAAGAAGGCCTTTTCTGGATGAGTCGCCTTGAGGCGGTCCATTTGTTGGCAGTAGAGGCCCGATTTGAGCGTTTAGCCAAAGATGAGCAGCTCGTAGTAGATGATTCCTTGCCAATCCCAACAAACACATTGCAAAATCTTCCTGGCCGTCAATCCGATCTTGGTTACCGTCTGGGCCGCTTCCCCGAGACCACGACCGTTTGCCCTCGATGTTGTCGTAAGTGAACCATTTTTCATTTTTTCCGCTGCAGAAACGGGTCGATTTTGTTGCGATTCAGCAGCCATTTGCAGATGGAAATTCGGCTCATCATGTTTTTTGCGTTAGTTCGTGTTGAACCCAAATATCGAAAGCTATGCAAATGGTTCGAAACGGATTTCTGGCTTATTTTTAGTTCCCCAGCAATTAAATAAGTGTACACGTAACGGACTGTTTCAACTATTTCCATGATTTTATCGCAATTTTCGACGACAGGCCTCCCGACGCGTGGTGCATCTTTGACATCGAGATTACCACTTTTGTTCTACACGTTCGTTTACAGTATGGGGCCGCTTTGGCTGCTTTTTCGCCTGGATCGAAGAAAAATTGTAAAATATAGCTCTGCAGGTGTCTACCTTGGACGAGCGCTCACAACGTACCGAGTCCATCAATCGAAAAACTCTCAAAGACAAATTTTTAGCGCGAATAAATACGTTTTCAGCGCCGTAGAGTATGACATGATGCGACACGTAACACGATTACTATGGATAATAACGTCATCTCTTAGATAAAAACCGTACTAGATACTTGACCAAATATAATACTTACAGTTTTTTTCTATAAATCTCCTCTTATAAATCTACCTTTTTGAGTTATGACATTAATCATGTAAATGAGCGATATTTATAATGACATTGGTATTGAGAATTATGGTAATCGGACGACTTAAACATATATTTTTCATACCACGCTTTTTCAGACATAATGTTTTGGTCAGAACACCTTCAAAAGAGTATTTAAAAGCGAGAAATTTTGTGTTCTACAAACGTATATACAAATACGCATTGACACCGAAAATCATCGATATGGGGAAACTTCATTACAGCCCCTTTAAACCAATTCTTCAGAGAGAAAAATTAATATTTAAATCAGAAATGAATTGACGTAAATTGTAACATCTTATGAAAGGTATAAGAACTTCGTGGCTCTTAAACTCTCGGTTTCTACACATACCATTAGCGTTGTGGTCAATGGCATAAAAACCTCAGAAGCGCCGGTTATGAGAAAAATATAAATAAAAGTATATATAACGGTCATATACTACTATGAAAATAAGTAGAAAAATATGTACATATATATGTACAATATTTATGTGTATACATAAATTTCAAATGCGAAGTTTTCAACAATCGCCCATCTTTGGCTATTACATACTTGTGTTACAGCTAAGCGTTGCAATTTCAACACTTCTCCCCATAGTTTATTAGACAAATTATTACTGTAATAAATATTAACGATAACAACAAATTAAAATCATATACTCCCATCTGTATATTTCCATCTGTAAGTGTTGTAATTTGTTATACTTTAATTATGAAAGTCAAGCGCAGAAGAGCTAACACCAAATGCGGTATTCTAATCATTGAGCTGCTATATTGTGATCGCCGCTAACCCGTTCTCAACTCGATATATACTCGTATACTACATAACTACATACGTGTATGTGGCATTGTATGCGTTTGAGCATATACTATATGTAACAAATGTTTCTGCCACTACACAAGATTGCCACTCCAACACCTCAGTTAATTGCAGTTGTAGTCGGCATAAGCCGAAATTGCCGTTGGTAATTACAGGGTGAACACCTTGAGGCAGAAAAGACTTTGTATGACTGCAAATTGATTCTAATTCGAAGTGACTTCACAGGATGTTCACTGGATATTCTCTAAGCATTCATATCATTTTTGAGAGTTTAATTGGTGAGCAGTTGGACAGTGTGAGTGTTTTTAATAAAGGATAATTGAGCAAATCATTGTTTATATATGTACATGTGTAAGTGTGTGAGTATATTAGAAACCAGATTTTAAGGCAACTGAAGATAAACATTTCACAACTATTTGTTATTCTATATTATGTCGCTTTTTCGGCCCGGAAACGGTAGTCACAGATTCATTGAAAATCATTCAAAAATCGGTATATAATAAACCATAACCTTTGATTCTTTCGGAGCTTTTATTGTATTACGAGTAATAATAGCGCAAATTGTTTGTTATGCTTTATAAAAAAAAAATTGTTTGCATTTGGTGGTTTCCCTCTAATCACTGATAAAAAGCTTAGTTTGCTATCAGCATATGTATGTATGTATTACTGCATGAGTTATGAGTTAATAGGCCAATAAATTTGATAAGACATTCCGAGAAAATTATGTGAATATGAATAAAAGTATGTAGAGAGAGGGCGCGGGAAATTAGTAGCGGGGTAATATTGGCAATAATAATAAATAAAAAAATTAAGCTAAATTTTTTAATTGCGGTCGCCCTTCGGCAGAGAATGTCAACCCCTCCGAGTGTAACCGTCAGCCGTTCGGAGGCGTCTTAGTATAAACTGCAGGTCCCTCCATTTTGGAAGAGCATCAAGACGTTAAGCCACAAATTTCAGTAGGAGCTCAAACAAAATCCCCTATAACATTTGTCTATTTTAACTCAAATATGCGCCGTTTTATTTGCAAACTTGAACCAATGAGATACCATCTTCATTATATCCCTCTCGTAGAAGGCTGCGGCCCTATTGGCTAAAAACTCGGACAGCCAATTTTCACAGGCCTATCTTGAGGTCAACTTATCACCATTAAGCGCGTTCGCCATGGAGAGGAAAAGAAAGTAATCACTTGTTGCCAGGGCCGGCCTGCAAGGTGGGGCATTAGGTCCTCCCATCCGAGCTCCTGAAGCTTCTGGCGCATCACCAAAGACGTGTGTGGCCTGGCGCTGTCCTGATGGAACACAATTCGGCCTGTGCTGATCAAAGATGGCCTCTTCTGTATGAAGTCTGCCTTCAAGCGGTCCATTTGTTGGCAGTAGAGGACCGAGTTGAGCGTTTGGCTATAGGGGCGCAGCTCAAAGTAGATGATTCCTTGCCAATCCCACCAGACACACTGCAAAACCTGGTGCATCTTTAAAATCGAAATTATTGGAACGGAACTTAGCAAACCTCTTTTGTTCTACACGTTCGTTTATAGTATCGGGCCCATAAAATAAATTAATTTTTTTCAGCCGCTTCGGCAGCTTTTTCGCCTTGATCGAAGAAAAATTGTAAAATTTAACGAATTCTCTTGTTTGCTGGTGTCCATCTCACAACGTACTGAGTCAATTAATCGAAAAACTGTCAATGCTAAACTTGTAGCGCGAATAAACACGATTTCATGCCGCCCTTCGGCAGAGAATGTCAACTCCTCTGAGTGTATTGTTGACATGAAATAAAGGCTTCGGTTACAAATCGCCAATTACAAAATTATAACATTGGTAAATGCATTTAACTGAATAATTATTTGTGATGAACTAAACATTATATAATACATAATGTAAGAAATTTTTATTTTCAATACGAATTTTTTGTGTTTATATTTTCGAAAACGAGTCTAGTAACGTTGATACCTTTCAGGTACTGCAGTAGACGGTGTAGAATTGCACACACGCTCGATTTCAGATGCCATTAGTGATTTTTTCTATGATTAATGAAGATATTAGATTTATTTTTAAAAACATTTTTTTACACCCAAGAACGCAGGTTACGGTTTGTTCAATATTTCTTTGCGGATTAATTATTTATTTTAAACAACTGTAGGTCAAAAGCAGATAAAGTATAGTAGTATCACTGAGGCAAAGCAGAAAATAATAATCATTATTACATAGCTTATCAGCCAGCACTTTGTAGATAAGTAAATAACGATAAGAAAATTACCGTGAAGTTGGATATATAAATATTTAACGATTGCCAATGCTTTAGTTGATTAGCCAGTTGGCAGTAAGAGTAAGAGTACTTTAAGTAAGATTACTGAAGATAGCGTGGATTTATTGCTATTCGAGCCAAAAAATGTTTATAAACAAAACTTTATTCGTACTCGTCATTATCGCCTGCACATGTCTCTCATTTGGTATGGAAAAATTCTTATTGTGTATGAGTGGTTTTAACTTAATAACGTATTTAATAAAATTTAAGTTAAAAACTATTTTTTACTATTAGAAATTACATATATTTAAAATACTTTTGAATATACGTATATTTTTTCTTTTTAAGGCTTGGTCAGCAGCCTCAAATGTTATTCCTGCACAAGTGTGGAAGATTGCAAAAAGGCTAAGAAATTGGAATGCACTTACGATCTAGCCAATAAGACCTTATTAAATCATTTGAATTTCTACTACTTGAATGTGCCAACAGCGAACACAACAAATTCCTTACAATGCCTGAGGGATTGGCTGCAGACACGTGAGTGAAAGTTTTCAGGAGTCATTACCACAATTACAATGAAATGCTATAAATCAAAAATATTGAGACAAATCAATTTTTGTATTTTTTTCTATTTTAGCCCAAGGACCTGTCGAGCACAAAGGCTGTATTTATAGCGGCATTTACAGTTGCACGTACGCAGTGCGTCCACAATTTCAACGTAACAGTACCCGCGTGTGTCACCAATGCCAAAAGGATGGCTGTAATCCCGCTGGACGTGCAAACGTTAATCTGCCAACAGTTGCTCTCGCAATTATGATGCTACTGTTGTTCAAATTTGCGTGGCGAAAGTGAAAAGGCATGAATCGATTGTGAGTTCTTAAAGTTTTTCCAACAAAATGCCAATGACTGTTTAATAATAAAAATATATTTATTGTTTAAAATCTTATCTTATAATTTGTAATAAAAAGGTGATACCTTGCAATGAGTACATATTATAATTTTATTAAATTTTAAAGAATATTTCCTGAAAGGGAAAAATATAAAATATTACTTCGTAACTAGAATTGAACTAGTTTATAATCTGTTTAGCCATTCTATGACACTTTTACACCTGAATCTACCTGTTCCTCTACTGCCAACAGCGGATATTACACCGAATATTTTTAGAATTGAAGAATTTTTGTTCATCAGAACGGCACTTATTAAGAAGTTATAAAACTACCCAAAGGCCGTACTTCTGACAACTCCTAGCGGTGGATTATCGGATGTTGTCAACGTTCACATAGGAAAAAAAATTTTCGACTTGTAGGATTTGGTCTTTGTTTGTAAAGAGAGGAAATAGCACCAGTTGGCAATAGTGATACTGCTTTGGATTCCCAGGCTGATTTCTACTACTGCAAAGTTATGACTGTCAAGGGACTGGAGTTATTCCTTCTTGTCTTACTGAGTCTGCAGAAAGTAGTACTAAAGATGCGGTTGTTAGAGCCGATGATGTCAATATCAACGACATGCGCTATCAGCTACACGTTTCTTATTAGCTTGCTCCAACAGCTCGTAGTCGTTTTTTCTGTATTGAATTAGAGAAGTTCCACGAAACAGTCTGAAGCCTTATACCCAACTGCTCTAAGAGATCCTTCAATGCAGTTATCCCATATTATAATCGCCGCTTTGTAACTGCTATAGTTTGAGCTCCTCCTCCAGTTTTTGGTTATGCGTATTGATGTTTTTCCAACAAATGGAGGGACCTCCGAATGGCTTATGGGTTTTTATGAAGAGCTTAATTTCATGTCTTAAATACATTCGGAGCCGTTGACAGTCCTTGCCCAGGGGAGGCTACAATTAGAAAATTTAGCTTAATTTTTTTTTTGTTTTTTATTTGAATTAATTTTCTACAACTTTTGAATGTTGGTGGTGCGGGGTCTTGAGCTCGAGCCTTCCGAAAGGCAGTACGCAATGCTAACCACTCGGCTACCGCGGCGGGGGCTAAAGAACTTAACATTACTAAAATGTACCCCTCAGTAATATAAGTTCTTATATATAATAGGTGCTTTGTGACCGCTATAGGGATTTTGGCTGAGCTCCTCCTCCAGTTTTAAGTGTGCATCTTGATGTTTTTCCAACAAATGGACATGTTATACTAAGCCGCTTTCATTTCCTATTGAGACATGGCATTCTCTGCCGAGAGGTGCCCCATTTATAATTTTTTTTTTGTAATTTGGTAACCGGCCGGTTCAGAATGCGGGCTCTGGCCTACCGTTTGACAATTCGTAGTGCTTACCGCTCGGTTATTAGCGCCAATATCCTACTAGTTGTCAGTCAGGAATAGTTGTCAGTTGTCTTACTTTGCATTGACTTCCTACTAGTTCATTTATGCTCACTGAATTTCTAATTCACCATAGATAAACACGGCTTTGTCCGAACCGTGAATTTCACATATGAATAAGCAAAAAATCAAATATAAATAATTAACGGGCATTCTTTTGTCTTTTAAATATTTAAACTGAATGTTTACGTGATAAGGGAGCTTCTCACTGCTGGTTTAGTCTGTTAGCTAGAGTTCTCACGTACTTGTTACCAAAGAAGGCTGTATTAAAGGTGTTTTGCCTCCATAAGACTTTGAGGGATGTTCGAAGAAGGCTGGACACGATTTATATGTATATCGCCAGGATTTTCTGTGCAAACAAATACAACAAAAAAATTTTCGCATTTGACTTCTCGTACGAATTATAACCGTGATTTATACAACAAATTTTCAGCACATTAAAAACGTCTTTATTTAATACTCCCTGTAAAAATAAATTGAACACCCAAATTCAGAATTATTCCATTCAATTTCACCACACACTTTTGATCAATGTGGTCAATATGATTGTAGACCACATCGTTATTAAACTGGCACTTGTCCGATCAGCTGGATTACAAAGAGCCCCGGAGCATTGGTAACACCTACGTTCATACCGTTGAGCATAATATGGATTCACTGCGTAACTACAACTACGATAAGTGGTGTAAACACAACCCTTGTACATAAATTCATTGGAAGCTGCGGAAGTGAATGCAAAAAAAAAAATTTAAAATGCAATTTATACAAAAATTCGTTATGAATTTGACTCACCTGTCTTTAACCAATCGTGTAAACATTCAAAACTATAGCTGGTGCTGTTTGCTGGCACGCCAGTGTAGTGCGCTTGGAGATAATCACGCGTTTGCTGGGCATATGATGGATTACATTCCACTTTACTCGGTTTCTTGCAATCCTTGGGACTAAAACAGCTGTAGCATTTCAAGGCGTTGGCTGAGAGGAAGGATATTAAACAATTTTACATATAAAATTTTGCACTCAAAATTGATTAAATTTTTATATAATATTATTAATTTTAGTTAACAGAGAAACCAGCACAAAATCAAAAACATATAAATATATAAGTTTTTCAAGAGATAATATTTCTCACCAAAAGTAAGGCAACAAAGACCGAAAACTGCTAAACTAACCAAGACTTTTGTGTTCTGCATTATTAAAACGAAATATTAAGAAATAAACAAAAGTATGTCTTAACCGTCTGATTGCGAAATTTTAACTGAAAGATTATGAAAAGTTTAACGTGTTCATTGTAATGACAAATGGGTTATAAATAGGAAAATTCAACGATCCAGCGATAACAGGATGATCTATTAGAGCTGATAAGATATTTACTTACTTACTTTACTGGTGTAGACACCGCTTACGTGATTATAGCCGATTTAACAACATTGCGCCAATCGTTTCTGGTTTTTTGCTGTTCGACGCCAGTAGAAGCTGCTTCTTGATTCGCTGAACTATATCAATGTCGCCGCATAGCTCGTACATATCATCGTTTCTATTCGATATTTGCCTTTGCTAACGCGCAAAGGACCGTAAATCTTACGCGAAACATTTCTCTCGAAAACTCCTAACGCCAACTCATCAGATGCTTCCGCACCAATTAACAGGACGGGAACGATGAGGGACTTGTTCGTCGAGAGAGGATTTTACTTTTCAATTGCCTACTAGTCCAAAATAGCATCTGTTGGCAAGAGTGATTATGCGGATTTCAAGGCTGACGTTATTTCTGGTGTTAATGCTGGTTCCTAGATAGGCAAAATTATCTACGACTTCAAAGTTATGACTGCTAACAGTGACGTGTGAGCCCAGTCCTCGTTCACTACCAGCTCCATTCGCTTTGCTTCTTTATCAAACCTGGAGAAAGCAGAACTAACGTCGCGGTTGTTGAGGCCGACAATGGCAATATCATCGGCGTACGTCAGTAGATGTACACTCTTGTAGAAGAAGTTTCTCTATTTAGCTCTGGTTCTTCAAATTAAAGAAATCATATGACAAGGAGTTATCCTGTCAAAAACCTCGTTTGGTATCGGACGGCTTGGAGTTTTTAGAATTGCTTATCGTCAGCATAAGTTTTGCAGGATTCCAATGTAAAGGCAGCTCCTATTCGTGCTATCGAAAGCGACTTTAAAATCGACGAAGAGGTGGTGTGTATCGATCCTCTCCTCAGGGGGCTTTTCCAAGATTCGGCGCATGGTAAATATCTGGTCAATGGTTGACTTACCACGTCACACGGTAAGGTCCAATTAGTTTGTTGACGGTTGGCTTTAGTCTCTCACACAATACCCTCGACAGGACATTATAGGAGATATTAAGGAGGCTTATCCCATGGTACACACTTAGATTCCAATCGACCATATTTTGCAAAGTAGCTGATGCTACAAAAGTTTAATATAATTAAATAATAATTTAAGTATATCCAGTTTCCGCAGACACTCAAAAAGAGAATTTACTCTAATTTTGAAAACTCAACTCAGGCTCAACAGAAACAAATGCGTAAGTCAATAATGCAAGTAATAACAAAATCAAAGTCGGGATCAGAGAGGTAATAAAGGCAGTCAAGGTTTCAGTTGAGTAAAAATCAAAATCAAAGTCAACTGTTCCCAACGCAAAATGAGAATGAAAATAGGGGAAGTTGTATTAAGTGAAGAGAAAATAAGAGATTCAGAAGAGCGATGAATACGAAAGAGAAAAAAAGAGAGAAAAATGTTGAATTGAAGATCAGCATGCGACGTTGCTGTTCAACTAACAACCCTCCGCATGGATGCTCGGCTGCGAGTCGATAGTCGTGGATGCTGCACTTTTGTATGAGGCTCCCGCCACCGGCAGCACAGGTAAACGTAACCATAGCAAATGAGAATTTCACTCTTTGTCTGTAGATTCCTGCGGTGCAACATTATGATACAGGCAAGGTAAGAATCTGAGAATTCCTGTGCAACAAAGATGGTTAAGGTGCTGCGAGGAAAAAGGTACAAATAGCGCAACAACGGCAGGAAGGGCATCATTCAGCTGTAGAGCGTCGTGCAGTAAAGATAGTGACTTGCAGGCAGGGTATTAATTTAAAATTTAAGAAACTAATTAAACCTACGTAAAGTAAAAATGGCACATGGCAGTCTAAGCATCAGCAACGGCAACAATAGCCACCAGCATTCCTACCAAACATCACAAACGCAGAACGCAAAGAGTATATATCAACAGCAACAACCGCGCGCCATCGCACCAGCGCCACACAAGAATAAACTAGCAGCAGTGCATAAGACGAGTAGCGAAAAGTATTGCGGCGGTATCAGCGGCACAACGCTGGACTCTAACAATCCATCTGTGGTGCGTCGCAATGCACGCGAACGTAATCGCGTCAAACAGGTGAATAACGGTTTCTCACATCTACGACAACACATACCACCCGCAATTATTGCCGATTTGAGTAACGGACGTCGTGGCATTGGACCCGGCGCTCACAAGAAACTCTCCAAAGTGGACACCCTGCGCATGGCCGTGGAGTACATACGACGGCTGAAGCGCGTCGTCGATGAAGTGGACGGGAAACGCGTGAGTGCGGCTGTGAATGTGTGTACGCAAGTGCAGAGCCCTTCGTGGCCTAGTATGTCGCCCATTGGACAGAACTCACCACCGCCAACGCCACCAAAGAATAATATGTATGCAACGCTGCTCGCTGATAAAATGCAACAACATTTCCAAACAGCGAACTTTGCAGATAACTTGCATCAACAACAACAACAACAACACCAACAATCACAACTAACCAACCTCAAGTATCAGCAGTCATTAGCGCAGCAACAATATTTCAATCCGCATCCTACTTTAATATCACCAGCCGGCTCGGTCAGCTCCAACGCGAGTTCGGGTGATTGCAACAGCTCGTTGTTTTATAACAATAACTCACCAAACGCGCTACCATCTCCACCACAATTTTCATTGCCTTTGCAAATGAAATACGAACAACAACAATGCAATGAGGAGATCATGACGTGCAGTTCTGGTGAGGAGGAGGATCTGCTGGACTACATTTCGCTGTGGCAGGATGAAGTGTAAGATATTGACCAGCATAGTTGGGAATGGTGCAACTAGTCAGCTGGCACTACTTACACATATACACAGACCAAGCGTCGTATGTATGCGTCGTACTTAATCAACCAATGACTGAAACGAGTATTACCTCATTTTGAACTTGATAGTATTATTTAACAGTAATTATTTATTTTTATTATTTATTCATAATGAACGAATGTACAAATTATTTTTAAGAGATTGTGCCTGTTTTTTTTTTCAATTTACCGTAATGTAGAATAGGTATTAGTTTAATAATGGAAGACAATGATTAAAAAGAAAATAGATTTAATTGCAAACCAATGGAAGACACTAAATAAAATAAGAAGCGAAAATAAAAAAGAAAAGGATTTTTTTAATTTTAATCATCTTAAGAAGAAATATGAGGACCCAAAACTTATGGTGCTCATGTTGACCTTGAAAAAAAAAAATATATTACATTTCAAACAAAGGAACTTTTGCAAAATAATAATGCCGTAAAATTTGGCTTCGATGAAAAGACTCATTATACATAGCGCTACCTATCTGTGCTAGCATCTCCAAATGGACAGAAGAGTGAGAAATTTGTTCTAAGTCTGCACGATGCGGTATCTCAATACAGGGTCCTACGTAAAAAGCCGTAGTCAAGTTAAAGAGGGAATACTTGTGGATCCACTTAGAGGGCAACTTTTAAAGGATAATACCTTTGAAGCAAAACTTAATGCCCAGGAGAAACTTATATGGTAAAGTTATGGGAGTGTTGCCCAAAACATTCATGAATACTTTATATCTGAAAATTATAAAGAATTAACTTATATAAATGACTGATAGATCAGCTCACATCCTAAATAATCGATCATAGAGATCCGAAATTTAGAGAGTGTGTTCAGCTCATGACGTAGGCATCCGATAAGGAAGTATTTTGTAAAATGTGGACTTGAGTCCGATGTATTCGCTCAATTTTTATTTATGGTTCGATTTTCGTATAATTTGATACCGAGGCAGCTTTGAGCCTATATTAATATGGTAAATACTTCTACTTTCAGGAAGTGTGTCAATTTCATAAATTTGGTGCATAGGTAGCTTCTGGCCTAAGTTAATATCGGGAACACTTTCTTTTTCGGTAAGTGGACATAAAATCTATCTGACGGTCTGGATTTGCCTAATATATGAAATATATATTCTCTGTCTAAGTCTTTGTATTTTTTTGGGGCGAATCTATCTAAGCTCTTTCCATACTTACTTACTAACTTTACTGGCGAAGTCACCGCTTACGCAATTTTGGCCGATTTAACAACATTGCGGCATTCGTTTCTTCTTTTTATGTTTGGCAAAAACAGCCAGGTCCTTCTCTATCTGGTCTTTCCAACGGAGTGGAGGTCTTCCTCTTCCTCTGCTACCACCGGCGGGTACTGCAACGAAAACTTTCAAAGCTGGTTTATTCGCATCCATGCGGGCCACAGGACCTAGCCAGCATTCACTGGACAATATCAATGTCGCCGTATAGTTCGTACAGCTCATCGTTCCATCGTCTAGGATATTCGCCGTGACCAATGCGCAAAAGACCATAAATCCTACACAAAACCTTTCTCTCGAAAACTCCTAACGCCGATGCATCAGATGTTCTAATCGTCCATGCCTTTGCACCATATAGCAGGACGGGAACGATGAGGGGCTTGTAGAATTTGGTTTTCGTTCGTCGAGAGAGGATTTTACTTCTTAATTGCCTACTTAGTCCAAAGTAGCACCTGTTGGTAAGAGTGGTTCTGCGCTGGATTTCAAGGCTAACGATATTACTGGTGTTAATGCTGGTTCCTAGGTAGACGAAATTATCTACGAATTCAAAATTATGATTTTTAACAGTGACGTGGGAGCCAAGTCGCGAATGTGATGACTGTTTGTTTGATGACAGGAGATATTAACGGCGCAGTTGTGGAGGCCGATAATGTCAAAATAATCGGCGTATGCCACTAGTTGTGCATTTTTGTAGAGAATTGTACATTCTCTTTTCAGCTTTGCAGCTTTTGTTATTTTCTGCTGCTTCAAACTAAAGAAATCACACGACAAGTACCCTGTCTGAAACCTCGTTCAGTATTAACGGCTTGGAGAGGTATTTCCATATGTTTCAAAAATCTGGCTGCTGTGAGTGGTGAATCAGTTGAAAGTTCCATCGTGATATTATTCAAAGGACATCCGGTCGAGTTCCTTTTCCAATCTCCAGCGTGTGTTTTGGTGTTTTTCCATTATTCTAAGCAGCCTCTGTACCGTCCATGGATTTTGATCATTATTTTCCTTTATTTCATATTATAAATTCACTCGGAGGGGTTGAAATTTCCTGCCGAGGGGCGACCGTTATTAGCATTATTTGAGCAGTTGGTCGAACCTGGACTCGAACTCCAGTTTTTCGAATATCAATAAGCAATGCCAACCATTCGGTTAGTTAGACCGTCACTGGGTCATATTTCGTAAAAATTGAGGACAACCATATATTTTTAGTAAATGGGGAACTCTGTAGAGTTATAATTATAAACTCTTTCGTGCCTGCATTCAGGGATGTTGATATCCACGACCTTTAGTTTCAACAAGACAGCGCATTTTCTCGTATGGTGGACCTGAGGCGTGGCCTCCAAGATCGTGCGCTTTAATACCTATAGACTACTTGTTGTAGCATTATTGCTGACATACGGCCCCAACTGCTGCAAAAAGTGGTTGAAGATTAGGGTTCTCGGCTGCAATTTATACGAACCAGTCGTGGAGGTCACTTGCTTGAAATTTTGTAACATAATAACAAACTTTTTTATATAAATTAACGCTTAATTATTCTAAAAAAAAACATATCCTTATTCAGTTCACGATCACGTGGTCTCTGGATACTCATTTAGTTTTCTTTTTAAATTTCGTGTCTATCTTAAGTCAATAAACACTTTAACGAAGGTCCCGCGCTACAACCGATTGTTTATTAATTATCGTGTGGGTGTAGCGATTTGTCATTTGAGTTGTTAAAATATTTTACGAGCACAAATTAAAGAAAGTTTCCCAAACCAAAATGTGCATATGGACACCAAATCACGCCATGTATACATACATACATAAGAGTATCTTCATACAATATGGGTTCATTTGTATATTCGAGTGTGTCCATCTTTGGCGGGTTGGCCCAAGCAAGTGTATTTTATGTGATTTTCTGTGTCTTGTAATGGGGAGCAACTTAATTTACTTATCTACCCTCGAGATGTCAACCTTTTCCGTTAACCGCATTATTTGCATACAAAACAATAATAACATTAACAAAAACAACAAATTACATGAAATGCCTTTATATCACAGCGCAGGCATCAGTGAATGAAAGGCAAACGAAAAAAAAAAATTCAGAAAAAAAAGAATATAAGGAAGATTCGAAGGGAACCGAATATTTATTTTATGTAGATCTATACATTGGAAAAATACGTTAACGGTAATAAATACGATATCGCTCCGTAACGTAAATAGTTCTGAGAAACATTTTGAGATTTGAGACCGTAGAATCGTTTTTAAGTCCAAGTGAAGCAATTTTGAACTACAAAATTTTATTTAGTTGAGTCGAGTTCTGCACGAAACTTTCGTTGTAAAGTCAATTTACAAGACAAATCCCGTTTTATCAGTTATGGGTGTAGTATTTAGTATTTTGTCGAGTGGCTCGTGCGATATGAATACTTTTGGACACAAGAGTGAACTAACATCTACTATGTTCGTCATCAAAATATATAATACTTTTCAAAATTACCGTTATATCAAGTGATTCCCCTACTTTGCATTTACTAAACTGTCCTTACTCGGGCATTTGTGCCCCAGGTTTATCATAATATTCAAGTTTTTTCCTTGGACGACCGCGATAGACGAGTGGATAACATTGCGTACTGCCATTCAGAAATCCAAAGTTCAAATTCTGGTAAGACCAAAAGCCTAAACTTATAGAAAATTAATTTAAATAAAAAATGTATATTAATTTTGTCTAATTGCAGTTGACCCCTCCTAGTGTATTTCTGACATGAAATAAAGGCGCCTCATTAAAAGGCCATCAGCCACTCGGAGGCAGCTTAGCATAACCGCAATTCGCTAGAGGAGATTGGACGAAAATCGCTTCAGCGGTTACAAAGTGCCAATTACTATATATACATATATATTATATATATACAATAAGATACTGAGATGAGCTGAAGGACGGATGTACAAAGAGATCGATAGACTTTCATACGAGATAGAGTTTTTATATTTGGCAAATGGGGTATAAGGACTGGAAATAAACAAACAAATTAATTTGGCTTTATTTTCGCCTACGAGATGAATTAATTTATTTTTACTCCATAAAAAATTATTTTTATTTATTATTTTCACAATAAGCTGTCAGATTTTTGAAACATATAGAAAGACCTCTCCAAGCCGTTAAGACTGAACGACGTTTCAGACAGGGTACTTGTCGTGTGATTTCTTTATTTTGAAGCAGCAGAAAATAACAAAAGCTGCAGAGCTGAAAAGAGAATGTACAATTCTCTACAAAAGTGCACAACTAGTGGCATACGCCGATTATTTTGACATTATCGGCCTCCACAACCGAGCCGTTAATATCTCCTGTCATCCAACAAACAGTCATCACATTCGCGACTTGGCTCCCACGTCACCGTTAAAAATCATAATTTTGAAGTCGTAGATAATTTCGTCTACCTAGGAACCAGCATTAACACCAGTAACATCGTCAGCCTTGAAATCCAACGCAGATTCACTCTTGCCAAAATGTGCTACTTTGGACTAAGTAGGCAATTGAAAAGTTAGGTCATCTCTCCGCGAACGAAAACCAAACTCTACAAGCCCCTCATCGTTCCGGTTGTCATCGGGGTTGATAATAAATTTTTGCCTGTTTACTGTTTTGCTTACTCATTTTTGATTCAAAATATCGGAACCTATCTTTTGCAATGCAGCTGTTGATTTTGCGGAGCCGTGATTATGATCGACAGCCATGATCGTTTTGCGAGTTGTTTCTTCTGTATTTCTTCTTTGGTAGTCGAAGACAATTGCTTCAACTTTTTGAATAAGTTCTGTTGTGGTCACCTCGATGCTCCTGTCCGTCCTCGGGTCGCCTTAAGGTTATTCCCAAACCGGGTTTTCCCGGGCAAGAGTTGTCACAAATCAATGACGTCTCATTGATTATGGTCGCAATGGTACCTGCTTGGTAAAAAAAACTTCACAACGGCACGAGATTCGTCTCTTAGTTGGTCAATGAAACCTCGTTTGTATATTAATCATGAGCCACTGAGCACATGTCTAATGTACTCCGCGTACATAAAAACTCTTAGCCATATCTACCTTTATTCCACGACATTAGAGACAACCGTTAGCGCAACAAACTTAATATACCATTTGTAACTATTACCTCCAGGAGGAAAACCAACAGTAAACGCTTCTCTTATGCCGAGTTAAATGAATCCCAATCAGCGCTGCAGGCAACAGTAGCGAAGTTGTTTGGTTGCCTGCGAGGCGCTGGTGGTGGCTGAGCGGATGCTCATGTTCGATGCGCGACATAATCGACACGCAGATCAGTGCGGCGACGACAAAAGTAAATGACAACAGCAGCAACAACAAAAACTAAAACAGCAGTGGTAGTGAGCAACATAAGCAGCAGCAAATCGGTTAAATCCACAAACCAAATCATCAAACAGCAGCAGCGAAACTCTTAAGAGCGACAACAAAAGCAACAATAAAGACAGCGGCAAAGAAAATGTCAGCGAAAGCTGTGCAAATCGGCGGCTCTCAGCGATTTTACAACAGTTTTGCGATTTGCCTGCAATCACTTAGCCATCAATGCATGTTGTCGTTATTGTTGTAGTTGTTGGTGTCACTGGGCATCTTGTGCGCCGGCAATGCACTATATGTACAACAGTTGTTATTGGTTATTGACGAGATCGGCAATCGCCTGCTGTTACTAAATACAACGTTATTTGCTCGTTGTTGTTGTTGTTGTCGTTGTTGTAATCGCACTGTCAATTGCAAAAAGATGACATAATGCGGGACAATTGGCTGAGAGTAGCAGTTTAAGCATGAAATGGTTACGTGTTTGCTTGTCGGTTGTTGTTCCTCTTGTTGTTGCTTGAGCTCATCTGCATATCGATTTCAAAGCTTCCGTCCCGTTACGCCAAATTCATCGTTGAGATACTTGAAATCACTGCGAATGATCAGTGATAACGGGGACGGTGGCCGGCTGTTGGTCGCATTGCACAGATGTGCTTGAGACCAAACTGAGTGTTGCGTAAATTAGCTGCATATGCGAGGGGACTAATGGAAGTTTATAGAATAAAGATGAAAGAAATTGGTAGGAGAAGGGAAAGCTAAATCTCGATATAGGTTAAAGGTTCTCAAATTCTGTATTTTTTAAATTTTTCACAACTAAACTCATACATAGACCGAGGATAGGAGTATCGTTGAAAGCTGCAAAGCTCAAATCATATTCTATAGTTCTCCTGTCAAAAACGATGTCTTACTTTGGACAGGGGGAGCTTAAATCTACAAAGCGAGCATTTGGATGGAACTTTTGTGTGCAAAATTCTGTAATTCTCCTGGCTTGTTATGATTCATGAGAACTTGGGGAAGCCCATACGTTTCTCAACGAAATGGAAGATATATGTGTGATATGGGTTTGACCGGATTACAACTGTAGTAATTTTAGCGATAAATTCTCTTCAACTGCTTTAAGTTAGCGAGGTTGAAATAACAAATCTTAGGAACCCACAACCTAACCTGAAAGAATTGCTGAGCAATGTACTGTTTAAAGAGTGCTCTTGAATATAGGAAAACATTTTTTATGGCATTGAAGATTCTCAGTTTCTGAACGAATGAAACTCAGAACCCCCTTCTCAGCCTAACCGAACCTAACTAGGACTTCTGTTTATATGTTTGTACTTAATTCATTAGCAAACATTTACATCCCATCTGCTGGTATGACAAATACAGAGCGCTCTATTGTATCTGCGTTCTGTATAATCCCTGCTGCAAATTTTTTTGGCAATAATTTCCGAGATATTTGGCCAAGTGGGAGGCAGAATTGGTGAGCTAGATTCTGAAGAGGTAGATCTCAATTTTATTTAGCAAATGGTTTCAAATGGTTTCCTGTGCAATGTTTGGCTCTTGGGTAATCGAAACAGTGCTTACATAACGGTCGGACTCGACAATGTTCCTGATTTTATCGACATTTTCGACAATTGGCCTTCCACTCTGTAAAGCATATTTTACGCCAAAATTACCGGAGTGAAACCGAAATTGTGCCTGATTGATTGTAACAGTGTCAGGACTACTATTCATTTATTATTCAGCCGCCTAGATTGCGTTTTCGCCCTTATCGAAGAAAACCTCTAAAATATAGCGTATTTTCTCTCCGCTAGTGTCCATCTTTGACACGCTCAAACAAAACAGTATCAACCAATCACAAAACTGTCAGAAAGGCATTTTTAGCACGAAATGTGATCTTTCTAACGCCATCCAGCGAAACTCGATCGGACTTATGCAATGCGAGTTACAGATAAATAACGTCGGTATAGGGCAGAATACCGATTTATATAGTGGGGGTTGTAAATTTAAGTAATTTCAAGGGTATATAATATTTCTTAGGCAAATGAATATGATGGGCGCCAGGAGGTGGAAAAGGAAGGAATTCCAAATTTTTAAAATGGTAATAGTTCAAAAAATACTTAACCGATTTAATTATTGCTGACACCAAAGAACATCAGTACTTAACGTCATCGATTGGATCTCTTTTTACTACACCTAATATTACAAGATTAAATTGTGCTGAAATTTCATTGAAATATTACTATTTTTTAAGAAGAGTTTCAAAAATCGTATACTTTCATACCTCAACCACACTGTTTCATATGAAAGGATTGAATTTCCAAAACTTTTCAAAATTATCAATTCTGTTTTGATTATGAATTTGTTTCGATTTTACATTGTTTTTAAATTTAGAAATGATTCAAAACATATTTTTCGCCACAAAATTCTTTATTGCAATATTAATAATTAATTTGTTTGTAACGCCGTTGAGACTGTGCCATGAAAGGGGACTGGAAAAAACTTATCCGATTCAACACGAAAGTAGTGAGCACAAAGGCCCCGACAGCGAAGAAGATAGATTTCTTATTACAGGCGGTTACAGACCTATAAATCATAATTTAACAAAATATTTAGTCTCGATAAGTTATGCGAATTTTATAAAATTTTTTGGTGATGCCCATTTCTGCGGCGGCTCCATAATCAAACCAAATACCATACTCACGGCAGCGCATTGTATAAGCAAGTAAGTGCAGTTATATGGACGTACTTGTGCTGCCCTGCATTTTCTATCCGCTCTTCTGCAGGCAAATGAATGGCTTCCAAATGATGAGATCGATTATTGTTATAGCCGGCACGCCGAACCGTTTTGTCAGAACGGATAAAACTCAAGTGATGAAAGTGAAACGTTTTGTTGTGCATGGCGGTGATTCTGTCGATATTGCGCTCATCATTTTGCGAAAGGACATTAAAATCGATGATGTCACAACGGGCGTGTTAGCGATTGCCACAGAACCGCCACGTACCGGCACACGTTGCATAGTGCTGGGCTGGGGCAGAATATTCGATGTGAGTGATGTGAACTACGTTTTATCGGACGAATGTAGTACCTGTGAACGTCATTAGTGTGTGGTCTTTTTCACTCTTACAGCATGGTCCGATGCCAGCCGAAGTCATGTATGTGGATTTGCAAATTTGGTCGCAGCGCAGGTGTCAATCTTATAGAGCTTTTTATTTGCCCTCGCTGATATGTGCCGGTGAGCCAGAGCATCCCGAACGCGATTCGTGCAGCGGCGATTCTGGTGGACCTTTGATCTGTGCCGCCCGTCTAGTGGGTGTTGTTTCGTTTGGCATTGGTTGTGGTACACCCGGTTATCCCGGTTTCTATACGAACGTTTACAAGTACGGTGATTGGATTAGAGAAAATTGTGGCAATACATGTGGAGCTGGTACTTTTCTAAAAGTGTATGTTATGCTTTATTTGTGCTACTTGTTGTTGTAAATTACGACGGGGTAAAAAAAAATTGTATAAATTTGTAAAAAAATCACAATTTCTGCTAGAAGTGAAACATAAACTGTTGAGTGCTCTTAGTTTCGAGTCCCGCGGTATCATTTCCGCCAAAGTTTTCGTGTTTTGGTTCCTCGTTTCCAAGTTTGCATATATTTGTGGGTAAGTCAACGGAATATTTCGCTATGTTCTTATAAAAACCTTGAAAAGGTGTTATAACTTCATCATATGGGTTCTCTATTAAAACGTCATCGATTGAGTGTCCAGTTTCATTTCATCAAAATTTTGTCATTTTTTTGTCGACCGAGTTCTCATTGATCCCACAATAAAGGACAGGAACGCAATGGTGCATTCTTATCAGGACTCCACTGGATCTCAGCGTTAATCCATTACTTCTCTCTTGGGGCCGCACCTTCCCTTTACTAAACTTATGTCTCCGTTTTATCGCAGACCATGCTTACTTCGTTTACCCCTGGTCCAGAGGTAGTAATTTTGAGTTGCTTTCTATAAACCCAAAACAGCAAAATCTCATAAAAACATATCTTAACAAGCAAAGACAAGAACAAAAGAGGCCGTCAGTGCAATCAACACTGTTTACAACGATAGAACAAAAAGAGCTGATACAGTATGAGCTGGAATCTCTTGTGCTTTCAAGCAGTCGGGGTACCAAGGATTTTTCTGGAGGTGGTCTTCGCTGTATCGAGTGAGTTGTATCCCAAGAAATCACATAGACATCACATCAACATGTACTTGGATGGCTAAACGGCAATTCAAGCCACAATCTGGCATCATATTGCAGTATAAAATATCCGCTGCTTGTATACCGACATCCCTGTTACACGGCATTGTGAAGTTGTTGATTAGATTGCTAAAACTGTCATCCCTTGTCGGCCGAATCAATGAAATTTTCGCGAGGACTAGAAGACGAGTCAGGTGAAGATGGAATACCGTAACGGTGGGGGAGACTGCTAACTCCATGTGCAATGAGAGGAAAAGGAGGAAAAGTACATCCTCTTTTTGCGCACACATTCTCGAAACAACCGTACTAAAACTGTAGACCTGCAGACAGATCCCAACCTACTCAGATCACATATGAGCAGTATGGGCATTACTAACAGCAAAGCATGCAGAAAGTGAAGAAAGGAAGGAAGGCTTGAGTAAGACTTTGCGTCTCTCTCAATGTTTCTGTTCTTATCTAGAGCTTGGTTTAAACATTTAGTAGGTTTCCCGTTCAAAGGATGAGAGAAGGTGTAAAAATTGGTTATCAAGGCTTCGTAAACTTCGGAAAAATCGTTGATATCTTAGACGGCGTCTACTTTAGCCCCAATTAAATTTAACCTCCGTCTGACACTATAAAAGGCAAACAGGTTTATGTAAGGTATAACAGTCAGCTAGTATAACCTAACCTAATCTAAATCCAAGACCAAACTCACTCTGACAATGTCTTTGAAAACTTTGGTCTTTGGTCTTTTTTTTATTTGAATCGATATTTTTTAATTTTTTACTGTATCTTAAATAACAAAAATATTTTCTACTGGAATACTTGTTACAGTTGATTGCAATGGTCGAGTGGTTAGCACTGGTAGTACTTTGTAAGCAGGGATTCGAGTCCAGCTGAGACAAACATCGAAAATTATGGAAAATTAATTTTTCTAACTCCGCGTGGGGCGATCGCAGAGAGTGTATTTATGACATGAATTAAGAAATCTTAATAAAAATCCATCGGTCGCTCGGAAGGGGCTTAGAGAAACTGTTATGAACTGTTATGGAAGAACATCAAGCCAGACACCACAAATTTGTGGAGGAGCTCGGCCGAAAATCGCTTCAACGGTTACAAACCGTCAATTATATAAAATTTTCTATTGGCTAGGATTTTTATGCGTTAAATGATTTAGCTCACCGCCTAACGGTATTTTTTTCACTACCAAGATAATTTTTGGTAAGAACCAGACCGACTTGGAACCATTAGACCATGAGTGTTTTAACCTATGTTTCTCAGACTGATCTTAAAAGATCATCAACTATATATTTATAATGCAACGAATATTTTAGAAAAAATACTTAAATTCCTAGATGATGCCCATAAAATGAATATATCTAGTCCCCAGGGTTATCGATGAAGACACTTAATTTGACAGCTACAATATGTATGTATGTATATATGTATGTAGGATGCATGGAACTGTTAAAAATACTCTTGGCCGCTTTGGTGAAGAAGAGATCCTTTATACTTGCAACTTTTGTGTGTATGTATAAGAGCATATAAGTAAAACTCTAAAGGATGCACCTGTCATGCGTGAGGCCGCCAGAAAACACGCGAAGGAATTATTAAATACATATACATATGTATGTAAACATTCTGTATAGTTATGTGTATGAGTAAGTGAGTAGGCAATACGAAAATTGAACGAAAAAAAATAATTTCAAAGCATAAGAGCCACAAATCCTGTTGTTGACTGGAATTACACCTGCGAAAGGATATAACAAGTGCAGGAGTATGCACATGCATTCATACATACATCCATGCATACATATAAGGGGACACATTTAGGTATATACATATAAAGACATAGTAAAATAAATTTACGCGAATTGTAGCAAAAGCAATGAGAATCATTCGGGAAAAAATGATAAAAAAACACAATTGAGAACGGAAAGTGATTAGCAGGAAGACAAACAAAGGATTACGAGTGCAGAAAAAATATCAAAGAATTACGCTTACAGTTACAAACAGTTATAGAAATTGACGCAGAATAAATGCCACATAAATACCCTGCAATACAATGTAACTGATGATGATGCTTAATAACACACAAAGGCAAAAGGACATTATTGCTGCTGATGACAAAGTGTGTCTCTAGCGGTTTCACTGATCACTTTGTCATTTGGTAAATTGAGGCGTTTTTGACGACACTCCCGAAGTTGTTTTTATTTTATTTTCTTCTTCTTCTTTTTGCAAACGCCTTTTGCTTCTTTGTTCCTTTATTTGGCTAAAGGACACCTGAAACGGAGCGCCACTTGTACTCGAGAATGTCAACGATGAATTTGTTGTAATTATAATTAAACAGGTGATTGGTGATTTTTTTTGAATGCCGACATTGGCCGCAATTTCTCAACTTTTATCATAGATTTCACACGAAATTTGTGTCCACATACATACATACATACATTCACAGATATGTATTCCTTTTATTTTCTTCTCGGTGAAAAACATATTTTAAAAGTATTTCTGGTCAGGATTCCATCCCAAAAGTCTGCGGGTTCACAATATGTAATGTGTTGGTGCTGGTGCCCACTCGATTATAACGGTTTTATTTTTTCAAATCCTCTTTGTTCATTAAATATTAACTTGAAGGATTACTAAATCAGTAAAAATAATATTATCCTTCGGGAAAAAATTATTATTAAGATTAAAGAAATGATATTATTTAATAAAATTAATATTATTATTATTGTATTTTACTTCCTAATTGTTCTCCTTTTTGGGTAACATATCCCATATCGGTTGCTTACAACAAGATCTGTAAAACTATTGCTTAATTATTTTAGAAATTACTTACAGATATTTACAATTCAATATTCAAAGACGAACGTACAATTGTTGCTGATGATAATATTACTTATTTTTGCATACTCAAAAACTTTTCACTTAGTTGGAGCTCCTCCAACATCTTCAGCAATGTTTTGGAAACCACTCCTGTCGACGAAATAATAATCGATACAACTATAATTTTGACCAGGTGCCACATCTGCTTTACTTCTACTGCCAATTGCTGATACTTCGTGCTCTTTTCGCTCTCTTTCCCTTTTTTTCGATAAGAAAATATCTGGTCTGTTCCGCTGGACAATCCTATCTGTCAGAATCGTGCGGTCCCTGTATATTTTATATTCTTGGTTCTCCAGAACTACAGCAGGCTAATATTTGTAGTAGCGTATCTCTCTCTCAGAGATGCATGGCATCAATATTATTATTATTATTCTTATTATTATTATTATTATTATTATTATTATTATTATTGTTATTATTATTATTATTATTATTATTATTATTATTATTATTATTATTATTATTATTATTATTAGTCAACAATGTCCGAGGGATCAAGACCGGCGACCGAGTCGTGATTGCGAAGACAGTATAATTGATAGTTTTGTAACCTAACAGAAATTTAAAAATTCCCTGTGGTGTAATAACTTCATCCTGCATAGCTTCAACATTAAATCTTTAAAACCCGAAATTTTCCTTTTCATGAATTTTTGCCAAAAATGGCATTTTTACGCAAATCTCATACCAGTTTTTGAAATTGATATTCAATTTTTAATATTCACAGCATATTTTTCACTGTCACCCAAGCAGCATATACATACATATTGTACATATGTGCATATCCACAATCGCATATCATAACTTAATATTTAAAACTTTGTAGCCAACAAAAGATCAAATCAATCAGAGAAACGCTCACACGCGAGAACATTCATGAACTGAAAGGAAGAAGTCAAAAAACTTTTTTAGTCGCCTCATTCCATTTTATGCGAACATTTTTTATTCCGCTCCATATTTTGTTTTATTTTATTTTATTTTTTTTCTTTCGATTTTGTATTTGTACGCTCATATTTTTGCACATCAGATGTTGTAATCAGCGCATCCTTAATAAATCATAAATTTATTCGAGCAAATATTTTTTTGAGTGAATTGTAATATATGCATGCATGCTTGTATGTATTTATACGAGTATACATGTATGTATGTCTGAATGAATGTGCTTGAGCATAAGTACGACTTTATTTCCGCGCTTGGCTATAAGCATAAGCACTTGTCAGTTGGCATTCAGCCAGTCCGTCATATGATCATTGTGCGCTGCATTGTGTTGATGCCATTCACTCAAGTGGTGTCCGCTGATGGTGTCTATAGTCACACATCTCAACCAGCGAACCACCAGCCGACAAGCCCTCAAGTAAACGAGCACCATGAGCCAAGACATGGACAACTTGCTCGACAATAGATACAAAGAGAAATATCTTTTTTTCTGCGAGTGAACGCAGCTTGTTGCATGAGGTATTATGCTTTTGTTGATATACGGTATATCTGAAGGTAGCCTAAATAAAAACTTC